GCCCAGGATCAACCAAGTGCTTCAGCAACATGATTCACTGCGATGCTCTGTAAAAGATGGAGTTCCACAGTCCAGGGAGTTTGGGGAACACAGCACACTAGCTCATCCACTCTTGGAGCCTCATAAACCAGACTGCATAGCAAGGTCTCTGAGAAGTCCTGAAGCAAGGACCTGTAAAAGGTTACCAGATATATGCCAGATAATAGATGATAAATAGGTGCTAAATAGGTGATAGGCAGGTATTACATTAGATTAGATAGGACAGCATTAGATTAGATAGGCAAATTAGAGACTCTGGATAGATAGATTTTGTAGTTAAATTAACTCCATGAAAACACTTCTGAATTACACTAGACCAATGACTTTCATTTTATAATGAAGGAACAGGGCTCAGAGGGCTTTGCTCAGGATCACACAGCTGGTAAATGGCAAAATTGGAACTAGAGCCCAAGCTTCCTAAAGTTCTTGCCTGCCCTCTTTCCAACAGTCCCTGTTCCCTTTTTCTTACCTAACTCTAAACCCCAGGATTTCTGGTAGTCAAAAAGATCATCGTTGTTTCCAAAGCAAAGCCTGGTGTTTGTGATTGCGCACGGTAACTTCACCTGGCTCCCTCCCCCTCCACACACACAGGCACTCCCTTTATGGAAGAATGTGCCCTTCCCTGCTCTCAGACTCTCATGTCCATTTGGAGGAGTGGCAGGACCCAGGGTATAGGCCTGAGGGCAAGCCTGACATTTGGTCCTGTCTCTAGAAAGAGCAGGGGCCTAGGGACTTGGGTCTTGCTATGCTACTTGAGTCAGGAAAGAAGGCTTCCTGACAGGTGTCTCAAATGTGAACAGGAGCTTACCATGCCATCACAAAGGATCAGGTTGGAGAGACGAAAGCTGAGTTCTGACTTGGGCCTGGATGGTGCTGCTTGGCACTGGTCTCAGGGTTCACCTGCTAAAACAAGAGTTGTCTTCTCTGCCCTGCCTCCTCAGTCAAAGTCTAGACAGCACAACTCCTACCTCATCTTCCCTGAGCTCCCAGCCACACCCACCTCTCACAACTGTAAATTCCACCACAGATCTGTGTCCACCACCACCAGTGGGCACAGGCATTCACTTCCCCCCTGCCATACTGTCACTGTTGTATGGCTATCTAACATATCACTCAGACACATCTTGTCTCCTCCTGCAGTTTTAAGCCTTCCAGAGGACATGGCAGGACCTAGTGTCTGCTGACTCCCACAGGGACAAGCAGTGGCTTTGCACAATGCATTCAGGAGAGGAAGAGAACTGCCTTGAAGTGCCTAGCATGGTGCTGGACACAGAACAGGCACAGAGGGGCCTCTGGGGCTTAGCAGCAGCTCACCACATCCCTTATCTAACAGAATTAACTGTGGGGATGCATGGCACCCAAAGGAGAGTCCTGGGGGGAGAGGGTTGAGGGAGCCTTCTGGCTTTCTGGTCCCTCATCAATGCAATGCAGGAGCAGAGGAGGCTGAGGCCACTTCTGGCTCTAAAACTGTAATTTCATTACAGACTCTGAGAGAGGGGAAAGCCTAAGCCATGTTTTCATCATTCTCACCTCCAGCCCCTGAGCACAGAAGCAGCTGAATAAAGCCTTGGGGGAGGAGGCTGTGCCTGTGTACAGACTGAATGGTGAACTTGCAAAGAGCTGGCAAGGTACATAGGCCAGTGACCAAAGCTACCTGAAGGAGAAGATTCAGCCACATACAGACCCTCATGGCCCACACAGTGGGGGCCAGGTGCTGCCGAAAGGGAGCTGTGGGTTACAGTCCCACAGCCTGCTCTTTATGCTAAGATCCATTGGGAGTCATTTCCCCTCCGTTCTCCTTCCTACCCCACACTTTTGCAGACTTCTGTTTGTGTCCTTTAGGGTGGCCCAAGATTCCTGAAGCCCTGCCTGGGCTCCAGCCCTCGCTCCCCCACCTTCCCCAGGCTCCTTGCTATTGTACCAGGGGATGGGAAGAGCTAACACCAGAGGTCCCCTTTTATGTGGCACCACTGCCTGCACTTCCCCCTTTCCCAGGCAGTGAAGACAAGGCAAACACTTCCCCAGCAGACAGGCAAGACAGCGTCAACAGTGAGCCCTGTTTTTATCTGCCCCTGTGGCTGGGACACTCAGACCAGGTCCTGGAGGCTAGCCAGGCTGGCCTATTGTCTGGCACTGTTTGCCTTTGGGGCTCTGGGTGCCCTGCAGGAGAGAGGGATTTGAGAGCTTGGAGTGGGGGTAGGGAGCAGGCCTCAGCACCTGCCCAGGGAGCCAGCCTTGGAGCCAAAGGCCAGGAGGGTGCTTTGGAAAGCCCCTAAACAAAGGTCACACTGGAGTTGAGTGCCTGCCTGCTCTCCTGCCTGCAGGCTCAGAGAACCCAGGTAGCAGCAGGAACTCCTTCCCATCTCCAAAACCCACTGTGCTTCTCTCTCCTGGGTACCTCAACATCTACCCAAGTCCCTTCCCAAAGCCCTCTTCTCCTCCCCGCCCCCACCTTGCACACATGCACCCTCACCCCACCAAAAACTAAAGATGAGGAGATCCTACACACACTGCCCAGGGGTGTGTGGCACCTGCTTCTGGGAGCATCCACAACTGATCTGCACACATCTTCTGGGTGGCTGGGCTCATGAAGTCTGCTCTTCTTGCAATCTCCACGCTGTCATTTGCATTTGCGCCTCAACCCAGCTCCTCAACAAGTTGTTTTGTGCCCAGCTGCTGCAGCTGGCCTTTCTCAAAGTCCTACATACCTGCTCAGCTAACCGGGGCGACCTGAGCCCAATGCCCAGTCACCCAGAGCTGTGAGACCCTGAGCAAGCCACTTCCTCTCCACCCACCTTGGCATCTGTTGGCTGAGAGCTTGGATTCCTGGATCTCTGCTTCAAAGCGCCATAACCATCATGTAGGGCCTTGTGACCTCCGAGGCAGTAGGGAAGGCTTGTCATTACAGACAGGTGACAAGAAGGACGCATGCCTTTGACCAACTAATACATGATTCTATTTAGGTATTTATACCATGTTGGGGTGCATACACCACAAGCTATCTGTTATCACACTTCAAGGCGTGATACATATTTTGGATTGTATTCCAGACTTTTGCATATACATACCACACTATGGGGTTGATACACACTGTGACATATAAACACACATTGGAACACACAGACACTTTGGGGTATGGACACACTCTGTGTGTATCTAAACACGGGATACATCTCACACTCTTGTGTACAGCCCGTCAGAGTTCTGAGGAGTGTAAATGAACCATGTAACTCTGGAAATGCTCTGGGGCTTAAGAGTACAGACGCCCCTGGATACAGTGTCTTTCCAAGGGCTTATTAACCTTGAGCAAATTACTTGCTTTCTGAGACTCAGTTACTTCACCTGTAAAATGGGACTAAGATTAGGGTCTACTAAACTCACAGGGTTCTGGGAAGACTAAAGAAGACAATGCCTACCCAAGATTCACCACAATGTCCAGCATATATAACCACTTCATAAGTGGTTGTTTTGTTATTGCTCATGCCTTTTAAGGTATTTTATAATGTACATAAAATCAGATGTTCCCAGACTCCTAAAGTTTCTTTGAAGACTCAGATAACAGACAGGAAGACCACTTATTTCACATTTATTTCACATTTGATCTGTAAACTTTTTATTTAAAAAAAAAAAAAAACCACTGTCATTAGCAACATGTGCCAACATTAGTTTTCTTTAGTGAAATCTGAGTGCAGGCCTCCCATTGTCTCTTGTCTAGAACATGTTAGAAACCAGTTGTAAACCAGAGATCTCTGCCTTCTCCCCTGATTGGCAGTTCTTAGTGACCATGACCTCAGCCAGAAAAGCAGGGGGAAGACAATACTTTGATACCTAAGAGCTCTTGGGGCTGGAACTGTACAGTTTGACAGGCCCATTTGTCTTCTCAAACTGTTTACCTTGGGCAAATTGTATCAGGTCTGCTTCTTCCACCTAATTTCCACTTCTCTGTGTCTAAGAACAGCAGCTAAAAGATTTCCCCTTAGTCAGCGCTTTTGGGGGGAGGGAGGTGCACGCACACACATACAAGATAGGAACATACATATTCTTCAAGCAGTGGCTCTAGAGAGGGGGAGGGCCACCAGAAAGAGTCAGTTTTAAAGTGAGTTAGTGGGGCAAACCGTGCCTCTGAGTAATGGCTTTATACACAGTGCTGATGCAAGGCAGAAACATTCATTTACTTCTGTCTTGGTCCATTGTTGTAATATTTACATAGGAAAAGGCAATTATGCCGTTAGGCACAGCAAAAAAAAAGGACAGAAATCTTTTCCCTGTCAGGAAATCTCAAAGCAGGTCCACATCCAAGGGACAGTCACCAGCTGCTGGTGAAAAGGACAGAAAGGGACATAATAACACTAGGAAGGAGCCTGAGCTGCAAAGGGACTTAGCCTGAACAGCATACTGTATCTCTACCTGGAGGGTGTCTCCACAGCCAGGATTCTGACATCACAGCCAAGGCTACCTAGCATGGGGGGACTCCAGGGTGTGTTATCAAAAATAGTATGTATTTACAGAGGGGGAGAAAGGTGGGCAGGGCTGCCCTGAGTGTTTGTTGTTTTTTTTAACAGAGGGGGACAATTAGCAACCCCCATCTGTTAACCCTCTGCGAGCCATGCCCTCTGGAGTACTGTGCTTGCTCTGAAGAGCGAAAAGAGCTGGAGTAGAAGAGAGGGTGAAAATACATTTAGGAAACAACACTGATTAGGGGCGGCCCACCAGGAAAAAGGCCCCTGGTCAGGAACGATCAAAACAACAATTGAGGGTTCATGTGTCCCTCCCAGCCAGAATTTTTCCCTTGTAGGAACAAGAGAGGCCCACACAAGGCCACGGAGCACCCTCCAGCCCAGGAAACATGGAGCAGGCAGGTCCTGGGTTTCAGACCGCTGGGACTGCCTGTGTAACCGCGCCACTTAATGTCCCGGGCCTGTGGTCTGCACAAGTCTGTAAGCCAGGCGCGGGCAGCGAGCTCACACGATCCTCTTTCTGTCCCCCCGGCAGAGGATCTTCTTGAAGGCGCGGCGGAAGTCGTGGTTGAAGATGGTGTAGATGACCGGATTCAGCGAGCTGTTGCAGTAGCCGAACCAGAAGAAGAAGTTGAAGAGCGTGCGCGGCACGGGGCAGCCGACGGCCGTGAGTGTGTAGGTGAAGAAGAAGGGGAACCAGCACACCACGAACACGCCGATCACCACGGCCAGCACGAACGTGAAGCGCTTCTCGCGGTTTTGCCGCCCGCGCCAGCGCGACGCCTTGGCGCCCCCACCGCGCTCCTCCCCGGGCCCGGACCCTGAAGCCCCAGGCCCGGTCGCCCCCGGCCCGCGCCGCGGCAGGCTGTCCCCAGGCTTCACCTGGCTCGCCCGAGTCTTGCCCTTGGCCCGGGGGCCGCGCTCGGATCTGCGGGGTCCCGGGGGTCGCTCGGCGTGCTCGGACGACGAGCTCTCCTCCAGGTCCAGCGCGTCAGCGTCGCGCGGCCCTGCCGGCGCGGGCTCCCCGGGGGCGCCGTTGAGCTGGGTGGGCAGCGGCTCTGCCTCGGGGCCAGCGGGACGAGCGCCACGCTCCGGGCCCAGGCCGTTGGGCCTGCGCTCTGCGCCCCCCGGCGGCACGGCGGCGGCGTCGGGACCCCGGCGGCTGGGCGGCACGCGGGTGCGGCGCTTGGCGATCTGGTAGATACGCACGTAGACCAGGATCATGATGAGACAGGGCGCGAAGAAGGAGCCAATGCACGACGAAATGACGTACCACTTCTGGTCGTTGATCTTGCAGCGCGGCTCGGTCGACTGCTGCCCGTCTCCGCCGCTCTTCTTCTCGATGGAGATGAGCGGCGGGAAGGAGATGACGGCCGAGATGACCCACACCGTGAAGATGATGGCCTTGATGCGGCGCGGCGTGCGTTTCAGGTTGTATTCGATGGCCTGCGTGATGGACCAGTAGCGGTCCAGGCTGATGGCGCACAGGTGCACGATGGACGACGTGCAGAAAAGTACGTCGAGCGCCAGGTAGATCTCGCACCACGCCTTCCCAAAGTACCAGTAGCCCATGACCTCGTTGGCCAGCGAGAAAGGAATGACAAGTGTGGCCACTAGGATGTCCGCCGAAGCCAGAGACACCAGGAAAAGATTTTGGGGCGCCTTGAGCGCACGGCTGGTGAACACGGCGATGATGACAAGCACGTTCCCAAACACCGTGAGCAGCATGAGCAGGCCAGCCAGGCACACCAGCGTCAGCGTCACCTGCAGGGAGTAAGGGGTGGGCCGGGCGCCGCCCCCTGGGGTCCCCGTCCCATTCCAGCTCGCGTTGCCGGAGTCCGGCTGCAGGGAGCCCATGGGCGCAAAGCTGCCCTCGGCCAGCGGCTGCTCCTGGCGGAACATGAACGCGGGTGCCCGCTCGCCTGGGCCTGCTGCCAGATGCCTTCCGGCCCGGCGCCCGTGGGTCCTCCTCTTCCTCCGGCGCCCGCCGCGCCTCACATAGGGAGGGGGCCGCAGAGAGACTGGGCCCGAGCTGGGGACCGCTAGTGGCCCATGGGCCCGGCTCCTGCGAACAGCGCCGGCCCACGCCTCGGACGCTCGGGGTGGGCGCCTTCTCGCTCCGAGCTTCTAAACACAGCCAAGTTTTATTTCTAAGCGGCAGGAGAGAGTAGGGCAAGCTGGTGGTTAGAGAGAGATTTATTCTTCAAGAAGAGAGAACAAAAATCATCGCTGGCCTGATGACTTGGAAGGATGACAGGAAATTATGCATATGTATTTAAATACATATCTATATCTATATCTATATCTATATCTATACAGATCTTGATTCTTGAGTCTGAGCGAAAGCAAGAGGTCTTACCGTATGCGAGGCCCGCCCCCACCTCCAGAGACAGCCAGTCGAGGGGTGTTGATGCGAGCTCAGGGGTCCTATGTCTGTCTCCTTATATCCTCGAAGCGACTACCGACTCTCTCGCTTCCCCTAGACGTGGCGGTGCGGGCTGGGCCCGACCCGGGAACAGGGCGCGGGCTCTGCCGCCTCTCCGAGCGCCACGGGACTTCCAAAGTTGTGCGCCCTGCTGGGGCTGGGGCGCGGCGCGCGGAGCTCGGGGGCGGCGGCGGCGGCGGCGGGGCGAGGGGTGTGGGGGACGCATGAAGGCGCCGCCGTCCTCAGGCGGGCCGGACCAGGTGAGGATGGGCTCTCCAGGAGCCGCGGCCGAGGCAGGGTGTCTCCCGAGCGTCGGCTCGGTGGGCGCCGAGCGCAGCAGGACGGGCGGGGGTCCGAGGACAGCGTGAGTTTTAGCAGAGCGCAGGACTAGGAGAACACGCTCGGGTGGCCGGGCGGCGCGCGCTGGCTGCTGGGCGTCTGCACCGGAGCCGGAGCCGCTGCTGCTCCGCAGCCGGAGCCGCTGCTGCTCCGCGGCGCTACGGTGGACTCGTTTTATAGCCCCAGGATCAAGCCGGCGTTGCCGAGCAGACGGCGTCAGCCCCCACGTGGGAAGCCGACCCTCCTCCGCCCCTCGCGCCTCCCCTCTGTCAGTCTAGCGCCGGCGCCCAGCGCCGGACCCCAGGGAGCGCTGCCCCCCAGACTGGAGAGGCCCTTTGGAGAGGCGGGTACCTAGAGCGACCGGATTAAAGAGAAATCAAGGGAGTGGGGAGCGGCCCCTGCTGGGAGTTGGCCGTGCAGCTCCGGACCGACCCAGGGGACAGCAGCGGGCACCCAGGAGTGCCTCCATCGAGCTGGGTCCTGGGAGGAAAAGGTGGGGGCTCTGACCCAAATCAGGAGAAGCAGCCTCCGATATGAGTTGCATCCAGTATGGGAGCAGCCCAGCCCCAGGCCAGGGCTCAAGTGCTCCTGGCGGCCAGGGTGAGAGGGACCTTGGCAGAGGAGGAAGGAGCGGGTTACCATCGAACCCCTGGAGCGGAGTGGCCAGCACCCACGCGAGAGCGGGCGACGTCAGAGTTCAGACTTCCGCTTAGAGAAGAGACAGCCACATATCTTCCCAGTTGCAGAGCTATCTGTGGGACATTGGCGGCCCAGAGGTCTGAACCGCGCCCCCTTGGACCGCGGTGGGGAGGGGTCCTGAAGGCGGAGGCGGCGCGCAGCGACAGAACGAGGGCGCACTGACACCTGCTGGTGGCTGGCGGCACGGCTGGGAAGCGACTCGCCGAAGCTGGGTGCCTGCTCGTCTCTTTGGTCCTCTTCCTACACCTCCTATCTCAGGGCAAGTTTGAATGTAAATTCAGAAAGGAGAACCCAGATTTTAAATAGCATTTTGTCGGGTTGAAGAAATCTTCCCAAAGCAACTACTGTTGTGCTTGTCCGTCCAGTGAGAATGGGGCTTTGTCTAATAAAGTCATGTCAAGAAGCGCAGACAGGGGCTGGGATGTAGCTCGGTGGTACAGCGCTTGCCTAGCATGCGAGAGGCTCTGGGTTCGATCCCAGCACCAAAAAACAAAAGACCAAAAAAAAAAAAGAAGAAGAAGAAGCGCAGACAGGAAGTCCAGCTCAGGACTGGCATACCCCTCGCCACGCCCCCTGGACCCTACACCCTTCGCTTCTGTGAATCCGAGGGAGACCTGCCTCCTTCCTCTCCGGTTGCCCTGCGCTAAACTGCTGGGAACCATTATGTCTGTTAAGGCACACATATTTTATAAGTTAACTAGAAAAAAGGAACTCCAGGGCTCCGAACACACAGTAATGATAAAGAGATAGAAGCATTAATTACCCTGATTTGATCAGTACGTATTGTACATGTATTGGAGTATCACAGTGTACCCCATAAATACGTACAATTATTACCTGTTAACTAAAAAGTTCAGAATGTTTAAGGAGACGGACGTGTTAACTACCCTGTTTGATCATTACACACTGTATACATGTATCGAGTTAGCATACTGCACCCCACAAATTTGTACAATATATTTTGTTTTTAAATGTTAACGCTAGGCTCCACCCCACACCCACTCAGATGCACATTCACATCTTTCAGTAAGGGAAGGTGCTGGCCAAGGAAGAGAGAATGTTCTCCACTCTCTAATGAGAACAACATGGGGGAGGAGGTGAGTGGCAAGTTTTTCCACATGTGTTAGATGTCCTTCCATGGATTTTCACAGACACTTGTACCAGCTTGCACTGCGCTATCTGTACTTTCCATATAAGCAGCAGGCAGGTTAAGGAGAAAGCCCAGGAGGTTAGGCAATGTCTGAAGGATAGATACTAGACCTAAAGAAAACTTGTTATATTTAAGGACCCACAAAACCAAAATAAAATACCTTATGTAGTCATCTAAGCTGGAATTCCTGAACAAATGGCCTCTCTGGGCAGCAAAGGTGCAGGGTGGGGACTGAGGACTAAATGAATGACTTGATCATCACCTTCAACTCCAACCAGTGTCTCCAGCCCACAGCAGTTCACGGTAGAGGATGATACTGCTAAGTATTTCTCAGCCATCTCACTTGACTCCAGCTCCTTTACATCCCAGTCTTTACTCCTGTAGGATAACCTTCCCTTCAGTCTTAGAGGAGCCATTCTAGTCCCTTTTCTGGAGACTCAAGAAAGTTGAGAAGGCAGAATTTCCTTCCCTGTTTCTCAAATTTCTGCTCAGAGTCTCTCAGCAGGGTCATTGGGCTCATTTGGAAATGGGGCTGCACGCCAATTTTGTATAGTACTGGGATCCCCAAACCTCAAGTAAGAATGTTAAGAGACACAACAGTCAAGGCCTGGGGCCATCTGGAGTTCACTGAGTTGTTCACAAAATTGACTGGGTCTTGGGAGACCATCACTTCCCATCTCCATAAGCGTTCTCCTTCCTATCTCATTTCAGAAGCAAAGGGTGAGGAGATAAAATCAAAGTCCACAGTATTTGCCTTCTTGAGGTTTCTGCTGCTAGTCTGTATATGACACCTCTTATCACTTTCCCTAAATGCTTCCCAAGCAGCCAACTGGTTTCTTAATTCCTAGGTCTGGAGTCTCTTCTCCTAAAAAGGAAACAGGTCTTTCAAGGAACTAGGGATTCCCAGCCAGGATCCAAGATTGTTGGAACAAGAGCTGCCTTTTGTTAAGGACCTAATATGCATCGTGTCCAGGGCTATATACAGAGCCAGGGCCACTTTATACACAGGCTTCTTCCTCCTGGCCTAGGTTCCTTACAGCCTTAAGTTCTACCTCCTTAGTTTGTCACATAGGGGCAGTATCTGCGAGCTTGCAAAAGCTACATGGACACCATTAAATTTTGCTAGGTTTCATTCTGTGCTAGCTGAGAGACCCAGTGCTGAGAAGAAAGACAGCCACAAAGAGAGTAATTCTTAACCAGGCCTGTATATCACATTGCCTTGGAAGATAAATAAATACACTTAACAAGGCCTTGCCAGGGTAGGATGCAGCATGTGTATTTTAACAAAATCCCTTGGAAGATGCTGGTGTCCACATGGTTGAAGACCCTCAACCCAAAACAATACATCTCTGGGGTTGGGAATGGAAAGCAGGTCCCAAGTGGGGGCAGGAGAGGTGTACAAATTACCTGAGGGCTTGAACTAGAGGCATTGCTCAAGCAGTAGAAGGCCTGCCTAGCAAGAGTGAAACCCTGAGTTCATATCCCAGTACCAACAACAACAAACAAATTACCTGAGGACTTTTAGGAAGCCAACCTGATAGAAAGAATGGGCTCAGATTGAGAACATTGTCCTGAATCTCAGGCTAGAAGGACTCCTAGACCTCCAGGAAGCTGATGTAGAGCATACAGTAGAAAGTCACTGTAAACATGGAGGTTGGTGTTGATGGCCTGAGGAAGAGCCACCTCTGGGCACACAAATGGTAGGCCATTATTATTATTATTCTTAATAAGAATAAATACCATTTCTTAGCACAGACCACAAGTCAAACACAATGCTGAGTAGTTTAGGCACTACCTATTATTATTATTATTATTATTATTATTATTATTATTATTATTATTATGTAATCTCAAAACAATTCCCTAACATAGATACTTTTATTTTGCCTATAAATGGAGAAAACAAGCCTCAGAGAGACTAAGTAAATTGCTGAGCTATTTAAAGGCAAGGTGGACTCTGTGTTTCCTGATTTTTAAGCCCAACAGGCTTCATAACTCCCTACTGTAGCTCTGCTGTCTTCCTGCTGCCAAAGGGGAGGGAAGGAGCTCACCAGAAAAAGAGCATGGACAAGTGGGTAAATCCCCCTCTATCCCTGTCCCTCCCATCCATTTGAGACAACTAAAACAGGTCAGTGTGGGGCAAGAAGTATTCCTTCATTTCACATCTGACGCTCAGCATCCTGCAGAAACATCATGCACACTCTATATAGGAGACTGGACACTTGCCAGTGACCAGACTGATGTCAAGAAAACAGGACACCAGCTGCCTCTACAATGTGTGGGTCCAGA